AGATTGGCAACTAAGTAATTGCCATTTTTATGATATCCGTAAATGTTATATTATAAAATTATTATTATTATTAATGTTATTTTTTATTATCCGTGAATGTTAGCAACTGGACGAATTGAATGCAGCGGTCAAGGAAAAGCGATCAGAATTGGTCAATCGTAAAGGTGTCATTTTCCAGCAGGACAATGCTAGGCCGCACACGTCTTTGTCCACTCGGCAAAAATTGATGGATATTGGTTGGGAATTGATGTTACACCCACCATATAGCCCTGATCTCGCGCCATCGGATTACCACTTATTTCGATCCCTGGACAACTCCCTTCGTGGTAAAACTTTTAACGATGACGACGCTGTAAAATCTCGCTTAACTCAGTTTTTGGCCGAAAAGGATCAGACTTTCTACGAGCGTGGAATTTTCAAGTTGTCAGAGAGATGGCAAAAGGTCATCGAACGAAATGGAAAATACATTACAGATTAAACTTCGTTCCAAGTAAAAAGAAATTTTTATTTCATTGAACAAATCGGCAATTACTTAGTTGCCAACCCAATATTTTATTATTCGAACATGCATCCACTTAGCCCTGGAAGTCTATGGATATTTTAGTAAGTTTCTCACTAAGCGTTGTCTTCTCTTATTATGTATTCTTTATTTGAACATTGTTCATACTGTAAACACACTAGATAGGATTTTATAGAGCATCATTCAAATTTTTAACGTGAATACATTACAGTTTGTAATATGTAACAATTTAATCAAAATTTCACGTATCAATGTACGATATAACTGTATTAGGAACAGTAGCATACAAGTTTCTTCGAATCTCAATTGAACGGTATATTCGTAATATTTTTAATTTTCGTGATCTTCAATTCAGATCTAAACCCGGAAAGTGAGATTAAACAACGGAAATGATCATTTGGACTATTTCATTATCTGTGTACACTGTGACTAATTTTAAGTCAAGATATGCCTTTCGTAGAAAGTATCACACGTACAGAACAGTAAAATGTAATGTGTTTTCTTTACGTAACTATCCCGTACATCGAAACAATTACAAAATGAAAAGCATGATGAAATTGTTCAATAATAAGTGAAAAGAAAATGAAAACGATCATTTTCACGGTGTACAGTAGAGCGAAGTCGAATTAATATGATTATGTGAATAGAAATCCGCAAAGATCGTTAACCCTCTATGAATAATGTTTGCAAATGTCTAACGTTTTTGTTCTTGGTAGCTGACTTTGTTTTCCACTGTCATGAATGTTTAATCGCAGGATCTGTTCACTGCTAATCAAGTTGCGTTTCTAGTAAGTCGTCCTTGAAAGATAAACGCAAATGATAGACAGAAATTGCTACTGTAGTCTGTGAAGAGAATTATTTCTCGCTACTGGAACATCGTATTTCACGTATTCAGTAAAATATGTATCTCTGTGCGTTAGTTATTAAATCGAGAGTTGATCTGGTTCATCTCGATATTCGTTGGACTATAAAAACGAAGTGTATTCACTGTCGGTATTGCTTGGAATTGGATCATTGCATCGATCCGAGGTCTCTATCTCCCTCTACACAAACGACGTATCACTGAAAATCAATCTGCATTAATGAGCATCTATCTGACTATTTTAGATAGGTTGAAATAGAAAATATCTAAAAGAAATTGCTGTTGCGAACTGAATTTCCTGCATTTAAAAATTTCCTGTAATATATTCCTTCATTGCTCGTTATTCGATTGGTGACAGAATGTTTATGTTGCATTTGAATTCGAATTCGAATCGCTTCGATTTAATTTTTACCAATTAAGTTCACATCTTCATTCATTAGAATTACATTTTAACAGCTGTATGTTTCTGTGACGTTTATTTTCACCTTTCACCCATCTTTGCAAGCCGTCGTAAGCAAGTTGGGACGCAAATGGATTTCCTCAGTTTAGATAACTAACAGAAAGTAAACAGAATTATTTTGAAATAATTCTTTCGATGCTACGCGTTCTCTTCGGCTGAACCCTCAAAAGTAGATGAAACAAATAACCTACAGTAGACTTGATAGGTAGAGAAACAATTCCACGTTTACCACCATTAATTCCCGTAACGTCATCATATCTATAATGAATCAATAGCTAAATTGTAGAAGATCAGTGAACGCAGGTGTAGTGCAGAATTTCAATGTTCTATACGTAATCCTTTATATCCTGACGTCATTTGCATTCTCTCTCTCTCTCTCTCTCTCTCTCTCTCTCTCTAAAGTAAAGCTAAGCTTGGATTAATTTAATCGCCATACACACTTGCATCTTGATAATTGCACAATGCGATTATACTCAACAATTTGCTAATGATATTGTAATGCTCGTAGCGAATATCTAATAAAATAAAGGTAACAATTAAAATTAAAAATAATCATTTCTACGTCATACTTGTAGTTTGAATTTAGTTTGATATTGTTAACTGCCACAGATAAATTGATTTTGCAATAAATACTTCTCTTGAAAATAGTAAAAATCGATATATTCCCACTACAGCAAAATGAAAAGTTTCGTTTAAACTAAATCTTAAATGTTTCAATTTTGAATCACCAAATTATAATAAAACAATACATATGTATTTTGTTTCCAAATGCTGCCGTTATGTCTCTTGACGATGTTTGTGATCACACACTCTCAACTTCTATCAGCAATTTTTCAAAACATAGTTTTGAAGATACTTTTTGTAGAGCTATTATTTCTATTGTGCCGAATGTAACAGCAATTTATGCAATGAAATTGTTGAAAATATAAAACTATGAGTAAAATGCCAGTTGTTGACGAAAAAATGTTCTGAGCAGCTTACGTTCAATATAATTGAGAAACTAGCGTGATCATTATAAGAATTAATAGTCGATGCATTAACGGATGCGTAGCATCCTTTCATGAAACTTTCTAAGCCCCATAAATATCAAAATTCCGTAATATCACGAAAAACTAACGACCCCAGTGGTAAAAATAATATAAAACTTTTTATTCGGTCGTAATTGAGAGGGAAACGAAAACGCGAGGAGAATCGAGCTGACACGCTCGATGGTCGTTGGCTAAATGTGTCCACCCTTCGAGGGATTGTATCTCCCGCGTAACAAATTTCGCTTTGTTCCAGTAACGAAACTTAAAAATATCCAACAACAAATATTTTCGTGTACAGAAATCATTTAGGACACATTTCTGATAGAATTACAGCTACAAAGAAATATTGATTGATATACATAGAGTGGTCCTCAAAAGTGTTACCTTTTAAAACGCAATAACTTTTTTAAAACTGGACTAAGTGATCTGAATTTCTTTTAGATGATAGCGGGACTAGTCTACCAGACAGTGACCAAAATGCTTTCTTCAAGTTTTGCTATTATTATATTTTGCTATTACAAATTAAAGATGGCAAAATCGCAGTTTTATCACGATTTTGACCAAAAACTGGAAGAAATATGCAGTTTTTTAAATCTTTCAACGTTTGTACCTTGATTCCGGGTTAAGCGATGTCGATCAAATTTTCAGCATGCATACAAGTTATCGAAATCTACAAGAGGCATTTTTAAAATTTTTGTTATAGATTCAGATAAAAAAGTTAAAAGACGAGAGTTTTTTATTTTCTTTTGTCACCCCAAGTAATAGCAAAATTTAAAAAAAAAAGGCATTTTAGTCAAAATTTAGTAGACTAGTCCCGTTATTACCTAAAAAAAAATTCACGTCACTCAGTCTAGTTTTAAAAAAGTTATTGCGTTTTAGAAGGTATAAATTCATTGTTAATAATAGATTGGAATAGTGTAAAAAGCTATAATTCAGAAAATGTTTAACGAACTTTTTGTTTTAATCTTTATTACTTCCTCGTACTATATTATTTGTACTTTACGTTAAGTTTATTCCTAGATTTAGATATACATATTATTGTTATTGTTATTACATAAATTTAATTTACGGATGAGCATACTCTAATTACAAATAGTTTTAATAATACTTTGTATATCTCAATTGTACAATGAAATACTAATACAAATCAAATATACGTATCTAATTAAAAAGTTCAATGAAGTTTACCTTAAACTATTGCTCCATGCATTTATGATAAAAGATAATTATACGTAGTATTTAAACACTTCGGAATTGTTTATTACGGAAAAGAATGTACATCTTGAAGATGTATTAAAACGCAGCTATCAAACAAGGAGAACGGTACAAAAATAAGAATGCCACAATTACGAACATAAAAGATTAAATTGTCAAGAACTGACGAGTCGGTTACGAGTCATAAAGCGCTACGCGCGGCGGAATAGTTTCGGTTTCTATAATAATACCGTGAAGAAAGCGTGTAAAATACTTCATTCTTAATAACAAACCACGACACGAACTGAAAATGTTAAGAAACATTTGATAAATTGTCTGACCGTTACCATTTGGAAAAAATATTCTACTTTTCGTTCGACTTATTATTCTTCCTGCCATTAAAAATCAGAATTAAGTATTTAGCGTATACATATACATATACATATTTACCATTATCAAGAATGTACGGTATATTACTTTAAGCAAAAATATTTAAAATTATGCGAGTCCCATTTTTTTAACAAGGTCCTTTAGAAATGTCTTATTAACTGACACGTATCAAGTCGCTCTGATAATTGGAAACCAAGGAATTAATTAGCTCCTTTATTAGTATAGACACGACTATGGCGTGGCTACGGTGTGAATCAAAATAAATAAAATATCTCGTTTTAAAACAAGCGTGTTAAAATTACGAACGTGTTTCTTGTTTATTCGTTCGTAATTTTATTTTCAATAAAGAAGTCCGGTTTCTTTTCTCTAGGACGAGTACACTCATTGTTAACTCTTTTGATGTTTGTATCGAGTATATTTGTCACGAAAAAATAGCTTGAATGACAAAAGCTGTGGACACAGACATAAGCACCGAAGGGATTTAAAGGAGCGAATATACTCGTGATGCAGAAAATAAAGCGATGTTCGCCATTCAATACGGAATTACTAGCTGTATACGACGTGTATACGCGTTATAAAGAAATGGCAATTCTACGTCTTCCAACAAGAATACTTCTACGTTTTAGGTGGAAATGCTTGTGAAACATATTCATAAATTTCGCACATTTTAGAATATTTCTAGAACAACTTGCCGAAAGAAGCTCCATCCAGCGTGATCGATAAAAGAAAAACGCGTATAAAATTGATCTTAAAAATAGATCAACTAAAATTCATGTGAAGCTAAAACCATATTCGTAATTTAGACAAATTTTAAAACACTTTACTGCCGTCGTCGAGCATACTCGTCGCCGCGTAAAACTAATTGAACGCACAAGCTCAAAACGAAGTGGAACAGTTGACCGATTAAATGTAAAATCGTTATCTGTGCCTATGACGGATAAACACAACCCAAATATCAAAAGGGTTAAGAACTCAGTCATTTCGAAACTTTCAGATAAAAAAAGTTTCTTCATTAATTTGAAATGTAGTGCGTAATAATCGATCGATTGTTAATCGCAGGAGAGCGAGAGAAAAAGAAAGAGAAAAAAGAAAAGATCGAAGTTCCCGTGGAATCGAGTTTACGCGCTCGATGGCGACCATGGCAACGTTTGTTCACGGTACGACAGCAGGATGTTGAAGCGATCGGGTCGCGCGGGTTGCGGGACGTGGCGGGTGAAGGGGGCAAAAAAGGTGGGGGTTGAGCGGCCGCGGAGAGGGGCGGTGGGGAAAGGTGGAGAAGCAGGGATAGCAGACGAGGCAAGCCTCTCGAACGGTACGGTCTCGGTTTGACGCTAGTCGCGTTTCTACAGTTCTACGTAGCCGAAGTGTCTGCACGCGCGTTGTTCCCTCTTTCCTTTTTTTTCCAACGGCCGCGACTCCGCTCGGTGTGTCCGGTTTTGTTTGTGCGCGTGCGAGTGTACACGAGATCCTTTCTGGCGAACGCGCCCACGGTGTAAACACTTTCTATTCTGACCTCGCTCGGTAGATCGAAACGTGGGCGACACGAACAGAGGTGGCCGGAGAGAGACCAGCCATCAGGAAAAGAGTGACACGCATACAGATCCGCTGACCGTTCGGCGGCGAATCGAGCTTTTATCCAGCGGTTGAATCGCGAGATCGAATTACGAGAATGACAGTGAACGTCAGGGTCGGAACAGATTATCGCGTGTCCAAGCCTCCGGTGAACCACGATCGAATGGGATCCTAGTTCGTCGGTGTGCGGCTGTACGCGGAGGACACGCGCGTGTAATGTCAGTGAAGAAGGCACGCTAACTCACCGAGAGGCTCCGCGGCGAAAGGCGAAAGTTTTTGTGGTGACCCCGGTGCTGAACAAACTCCTGTCTCTTCACGGAGGGCCTGGCTAACGTGTTGCGCTTCGAAAGCGTTTTATCTTCGCACGGTTTCTCGCGAGGACGACCAGAAGAGCGGCACGTATGTCTTGCTCGAGGTCCGGCTTCATTTGCATCCCGTCGAGGAGAGTCTATTATTTCAAGGATCGGTGCAGGCTCTACACCATAAAGGGTGCAACAGGACACTCGCGTTAGGTTAGGTCGGAGCGGCGGAGATCGAACTGGTTCCCCGTAGCGCGGACCTCGAGAAGATACGGCTGAGTTTGGTGGTCTCTTCGATCGAATCGAGGATACAGTAGACGGTTATGATGGGTGTATTGAGGTGGAGGCACGATCTCAGATCGGATGCCGGCCAACAGCAACAACAACGGCCAAACACAGACCGGTCTTCGACAGGACACAATAATCATGCGCACGCGCACCCTCACACGCACACGTTGCCGAAACTTATATCGCAGGTGAGTTTTTCCCGCGCTCTTTGCTCTACCGCGCGTCCTGATCAAACTCGATTTCGGGGTTAAGTAATGTTTACAGGGAAAGATTCCAAATACTGGTTGCAAATATTGGTACTAACCCTACCAGATAGTAAAAGTTGGCGGCATGTTTTGGTCACAATATTATCATGCTCATTTGGCTAATAGTGGTAGGAATGGTGTTAAATGTTGTACAATTTTGTTGAGATAATATTAGGGGGGCCGGGAAGTTATGTCGTTTGTTTACATTAAATTCAAACAGATAAATATGCGCAGAAACGACATTACTTTGCGGTCCCCCTAATATTTAACCCTAAAGAGTCAGATAGACAATATATTGCCTCGAGTCATGACGATACCGCTCGTGACATATAATAATTTTTAGAATAAAACTACTGATTTATATGAGCAAATGTGCCGGTCCCCTACAGGTTAAAATACATTTTTGTATTAATAATTTGGAGTGCGGAAGAAAAAACATTGTGATAATTATAGACTAAATAAAAGAAATGACATTGTTTATGCAAGAAATTTTAATAACATCATTTATTTTCAGTTTAAATGCGAACATTTGCATAAACAAAAGTTCTACTTTAGAGTAACATATCTTAATATTTAAATACAATTTTAACCGTTACAAGGTTTCGAAGATTTCGTGATAGTCGTGGCTACTATCTTAGAATCAACGTTGGTCTTATTAGCCACCATTGTTTCAATCAATTGAAAAATTAGAATTCATTGGAATCCCATTGAAACCTAAGTCCCTCCTCTCGAGGATTAAGCACATTCTGCAGAAGATAAAATATATGATTTACTGTATATCATTTTAAATGTTTGACTCGGCATTGCCTAATTCTACTTCTCATTCTTCTAATTCTCTCGAACATGTTAAGAGGAAATTCGGACTCTCTGGCTGATATTAACTTTCGACGTTGTATGTTACCATCGTCATTCTTCTTTTTTCTAGCTCTTGAGATTAGGATAGGCTTTGCTTTGGATTAGGGGACTGTTTATCGTTTGAATCTGATGTGCGAAGGCAGAGTCTGTATTGCCGACAGATGTATAACGGTGAATAGGAAACATGCGGACTACTGGTACTTTTAGCTTCCATTTTACGAATTGGTGTGTCCGTTCTGACCAGAACTTTCATGCAGATTTATATACAATACGTATACGTCCCGTTGGTTTTTTGGTATTATTGTGGACACTTTTATATTCGATTATTTAATTTTTAACTTGAAAATAGGTGTGTTGTGAAAGCCGTGATTTAAGAAAATAATAGGTACAGTAATGTCTCTCTAATTGACGCTCAGATTGTGCAGAAAAATGGACAATTTGGGAAGAGGAGATACGATTGTTCGAGCCTTGTAGCTCGTTTTTTACAGTCGTTATTAATTCGTAACCATAAAAAACGAACCGCGAGGCTCGAACAATCGTGTCTCCTCTTCCCAAATTGTCCATTTTTGTGCACAATCTTAGCGTCAATTAGAGAGACATTACTGTATTACTTTATACACATAAGATGTACGTGGATTATTATAATTATAATTCATTGATTATGCACAGCACGTGACACACTCACTCAGATCGCATCGATTCTAACACACACACACACACACTAATATAAATGTTAGAATTAGTTGTGCAGAGAAGGATTGAAATATCGATGAAAAATCATGTGTTGAATTTTCAATATAAAAATTAATTATAGTCGACTGTTATGATCAATATTTCACATATAATTTTACTTGGTCACCAGAAAATTGTTTTTTAAATCAATATATATCTCAACCATTTTCACAATATTATATAAATATTAATGTGGTTCAAAGTGGAAGAAAGATGAGAGATCATTTAAAAAAAAGTAATAAATCTTGAAGTTAGAGTCTTTGGGACATTGATGGTACTTTACCCTTCGGTTCAATAGCCATGTACTTTAGAAACGTTCATCTCACGTTTCATTTTCGGCTTCGCGGTCTCCTCAGGCGCAAACACGCGAGCTGAATACACACGAAAGTTGACAAATAGACCACACGATGTGACGCTCATCGATTTCGAAAATACACCGTCGAAAAGCAATGGTTAGATTTTCAATTCTCACTCACATCAGCTTAATCAAGTTAGAGCTTTATTTCTGTTTAGTAATGTAAGACAAGTGCACAAATCAATTATAACGTTAAAATGGTGTCGATAGTTTTTTGAGGGTTTACTGAAATTTCTTTGATAGTAAACACAAAATTATCTTCATCAATTGCAACAAACATAACTCAAATAGAAATTCCTTCCTTTCTGTAATAATTTCAATGAGTTGAAAATAATACATAAATGTCCTTAAATTCTTTGAATAATTTTGTATTAAATTTCTTGATGCAAATGCCTAAAATGTGCAGTTTACAGATCACTTTAGGGTAACTGAAAGATATGTAAGTCAAATATTAGCCATAGAATTGTAAAATGTTTTTTTAGTTGCTCTTATTCGATTGATTCTAGTATTGCGTATTGAAAAGTGCACGAGTGTTGGGTACCTAAACAAGGTTCTTAACATCAGTATCGACAAGTATGTTCATTCACGACGGAATCATATAAATAGGTTCCGTATTAATAGACCTTATGAGAAAGTGTTTAAAACATAGTTAGAAAAGTTCAAAGGGGCACACAAAATAATAGAAAAAGAGTTCCTGTTGCAGATTTTTCAGGGGCTTCTCGTTCACTGGCACACCTTCAAATATCATTGCACTTTTGTCTCCTATTTCGTAAAGAACTGTAGAACATATTGTACGGAAAATTCCATACGTACAAAAACTGCCAAATGTCATTTAAATTGCTAAAATTGTGTTTATTAGCGAAAACTTCTGAAGGCTGCTAACAGGACACAATATGTAATTACCTCCTCTACCCTACTTTTCTATACTTCAAATGATCCACCAGCCTAAAAATACTACATTGGTTAAGCACAACTTTTTACAATTATGAAGCTATCATATAGATTTACATATCTATCTGTAGCGAAAAGAATAAAGATGTCTGAAAAGTGAAATGTCGGCAAACCTTACATTAGTAACTAGTTATCGCCTCTCACACTGTAGACGTCGTTTCCCACGATCAAAACTAAAAAAAAAAACTAAAGCATTTTCCTTTTAATCGCACATCACTTCACATTCGTAGTACAAAATTGTATGAAATGAACGTCGAATTTACGAAGATTGATTACCACCTGACGGATAGAACGTTGCATTTTTAGATTAATAGTTGCACTATTAACGTTGTTTACAACAATTCTAAGGAGCTTTATTCAGCAATTTCTCAGAACATATTTTTGAAGATATTACTTGCAGTCTTAATAAGCCTTTCCGTTGTTCCCAATGTAACAGCAATTTATTGTATCTAATTGCCGAAAATTCGGTAATTAAGATAACGATGTAAGTACGCTTGGTGAAAATTGACCCAGACGCCGCCTTGCGAGGGTTAATATACCGTGGGCATCATCGATTAACGAATGCAGTCCCGCAAATATTTAAAATGTCAGAGGGACGTTCAGAATGACTTGATAATTGCACCGTTCCACTACCGTTGCTCCATAATAGCTGATAACCGAACCGGTAAATGGAATAATCGTTGAACCGTCACGCGCAAGAGGTTCGCGATTCACCGGCATTCTGGCTCGAGCCTAGCCGCGATCTTAATTCCCGGGTTCCGTGTATCGTTTGCTTCCGCGTGTATCCTTTTCGTGCGTTAAACGTTCCGCCACGTCGGTGAAGAGGGAAGAGCACCGTTGTTATAGTTTTTGCGCGCGAGCTTGACAATCCTTCGTAACCGCGCGAGGACGGACGAGACGCAGAAGATGAAGAGGACGAAGACGAACACCGCGATGGGCTCGAAAGGGCAGCAAAACAACAGAAAAGTATCAGAGACAGAGGGAGGACGGGATGGAAAGGTGCAGTGCCAAGAAACGAGCGCGGTAACTGTAACCACAAAGATCGGCTTCGCGGTAATTTTCCTCTAACAACCCGTTACTCCATCGTTCTGCGCCGCGAGACGCTTTAAAAAGTCCCATTTTCCCATGACCGGCCGCGCAGAGTCCGTGGGTTACGTCCTGCGCCACGGGTTGCTTGCCTGCTGGTTCTCTCTGTTCCGACTCGCCGGCACACGCATACCTAAAAATCCTTCTACACGCGCATAATTGCTCGATGCCACAGGCCGGCCGGCTTCACCGAGTTAAAGACTTGATCTTCAACGAGTTACCAGCACGTGCTCCGGAGACAGGTACTTCAATTCTTGCCGAAGACGCGACCGGCCCGATTGGCAGGAATTACACTTGTCCTCGAACCAATACCCGTTTAAAGGCCTCCGAACGGCGACTTATTAACAGCCACCACTTGGTGTCGTTGCCTTTCATCGCGCTAAGTCTGCGGCTTTTGTGTCCGACGTCTTCTGGATGTATTGGTTTTGCAATTTTCATTTACGTTTACCGAGGTGTCGTTGTCAAGAAGGAAGATGGATAGTCTCATTCCGACAACCTCTATCTTCATCCTTGAACTGTATTGGCAAGTCTCTCAATTTTGATTGGTTATTTTTTCAATTTTTAACGGAAGAGCGAAGTTTTAAAGCATAACATTCGTTTTAAACCACGTTGAAACTAATCGAACTTAGAGTTATGATCGGCATTTTAATAAGATGGAAAGTAATAACAAAGATAAAATCTGAGAATTTAAAAAATGTTAAATATACATATACAGGGTGTCCCAGGTTTTGATGTTCAAACTCTGTCAGTGTATTCTATGGCACGAAGTAAGAAAAAAATGTTATGTAAACATAGGTCATATAGAGCTTTATTAAGAAGTTATAACAAAAATTCGTTCAATGAAATGAAAGAGAATAGAAACGAAATTCGCACGGTCATAAATTCGATCTTCGATCGATGTCAATCATGTATTTGTCCTGTCTCTTATACACATCTAGATGTGTATAAGAGACAGGACAAATAC